GTCTGGCCATTTTTTGGTTGCAGCCATCATTGTTGTTTGGTGGGCCCGGGCTGGGGATTCAAACCCGCCACCTTAGGTGTATAGGCTGGCGCCTTAGCTGCTTGAGCCACAGGCGCCAAGCCGGCACCTTATCTCTTTAGGAGGACACTGAGATCACAAAAGTTAAAAAGTGTGACATCAAAGTTAAAAAGTGTGACATGAAAGGTGGGTTTCTCACTAAACCCTTGCCAATCAGACGCATAGCTTCTGGCCAATCTAGAAACACTGGGTAACATCCACACAGGCACCCCTCTAACCAGCCTGTAGGTGAGACTCTCCCCATAGCCAAAGCTTCCCACCAGGAACATAGAAGTTGCCTCAAGCAAAATACCACTACATCAGAGGGAGTGATTGGAACGCACCTGTGAGGCTAATAAATGCTCCAAAACTGTGCCAGAACACATTTTGTAAGATTGAGCACCCTTCTTTTGCAGGGGCCTGCTCCACCTCAGTGCAGTTGGAACAGGGTTGGTTCTATCAGTGCAAAAGCACCAAAGATGTTTACCTTCAGCTTAGAATTGTCCTCAACATAGAGGAAAAGGCAACATCTTAGTTCATTCATCATTCATTCAAGAATTACTGAATATCTACCAGGTACTGGTTACTATACTACATACTAGGGACAGATACAAATGTAAATAAAATCTGTCTTGGCTCTCTCTTTTGTTCTCCCTCAGTAATCAAGGTAATAGCTCTCCATAGACTTTCTTTTTTTGACACAGTCTCACTACGTCGCCCTTGGTAGAGTACTGTGGCGTCGTGTCACAGCTCACAGCAACCTCAAATGGGTTTAAGCTATTCTCTTGCCTCAGCCTACCAAATAGCAGGGACTACAGGTGCCCATCACAATGCCCAGCTATTATTTTTTGCAGTTGTAGTTGCTTAGCTGGCCTGGGCCAGGTTCGAACCTGCCACCCTGTGTTATGTGGCTGGAGCCATAACGACTGTGCTATGGGAGCCAAGCCTCTATAGATATTTTAAAAAATATAACCTAGGCTGGGCGCAGTGGCTCAAGCCTATAATCCTAGCACTCTGGGAGGCCAACATGAGTGGACTGTTTGACAGGAGTTTGAGATCAACCTGAGCAAGAATAAGACCCCATCACTACTAAAAACAGAGAAACTAGCTGGGGGTGGTGGCCAGCACCTGTAGTCCCAGCTACTCAGGAGGTTGAGGCAAGAGGATCACTTGGGCCCAAGATTGTAGTTGCTGTGAACTATGACTCCATAGCACTCTACCCAGGGAAACGGAGTGAAATTCTGTCTCAAAAATAAATAAAAATATAACCTAATCTTATCCCCACTTCCCAGTTCTTATTGGTGTATCTTAAAATGGCACTTAATAAATTAAGGTAGGGAACAATTGAGAATAAGGCTCTGCCAACTTTTTTGATCTCTGGATAGCTTGGACCTCACACGTTCTTGTAGTTAGCTAGCCACAGGCAAGTCCTCATTGAGCCAGAAATGTCAGTGGCGGCTGCGGGGTTGACACACCAGCTTGATTGTGCCTATGCTCTTTCCATGGCAATACCAACATTCTATGGAAACTTAATCTAATTGGGGGAATAAACCAGGACATAGACACACACCCTACCACCTTCAAAAGGAAGAATGCAGGTCAGCATCTTTGCCACTACTCTATGTGAAACAGCCTATGATCTTGGCAAAAACTAGTAACCACAAGCCCATCCCATACCACTAAAACTCCCACCACCTTCCCGTGGTTCTCAGCTTCAGTGAGAAAGTCAGCAAGGGAAGGGCCTTCTTCCTCCTTTCTTCCCCAGCTGTCTAAATTACACTTAAGACTTTACTGACAAATATATATCAGCATTTGCTCCCACAAGGGCAGCGGAAGCCAAGCAGGGACTCTAAGTCTGCTTCACGCATCATTGATAGAACCAACCCTGTTCCAATTGCTAAAGTCTTAAGAACAGCAATGACCTAGAAATTAACAGTGGGGTGAGAACTGAGGGAAACACACCAGTACACAGAAAACCCTATTTCTAAATACTAGGGGAAAGGGAGAAAAAGGAGGTAGAGGGAAAAGAAATTGGCCCCTTTGAATCTACAAATGTGATGTTGGCTGAAAGCCAAGGAAGATACATAGCAGCCCCACTGCGAGTCAAGCCATGTTCCTGACTCAAGCCCTACAGTGAAGAGGAAGGCGCCAAGCCTCAAACACAACGAGGTAGGGAGGCTGCTCCTTTTTGGGCAGGATCCTACTGTGGACACAGAACAGACAGCAGCTGCCCACAGTGTGGAAACAAACTGTAAAGCAGTCACGTCTCTTAAGGCTGCAGCATCCAATAAAATGTAATTTAAATCAAGCCTCGCATCTGTTCTCAATCCCATTCAGTCTCTGCTTTCCATCAGCCTTCGGACAATCTTTGCAATTATGCTTGTTAACCCTTATAGCTCCAGACACTTACCAATCTTCTAGGTATAGAATTGTGTTCCTCACTTGCAAATTACCCTTAGAGGGAATGAATGATCTAATAAAGGAGTATGAGAGGACAACAGACTTGTGTCTACAGACTATTCTCTGCTACACATACCAGTGGGTAGTGTTCATTTCAGAGGTCTCTCTCTACTTTCCTTTCTATCCTGTACCACCTGCTGTAGCCCAGATCATATTGCAAGGATACAGTGGGCAGGATGAATGAAACAGTGGCCAACAGATCATTTGTACACATATCAAGTTCTCAAACTCAAGGCCATGTCAGAAAGGCAGGAGAAGAGCTCAGGGAGAAGCTCACTGGGTTACTGGCTCTCAGACCATTCACATTACACATGCTTTGCATTTCAAGCCTTTGCTTGAGTTATAAAAGTATAACAATCTTCCAAACAAATCAGACTTAAGAACTGCTCCCCATTCCCACCACCTTTCCTCAAAATTACCCCAGCCTGCACTTTCAAAGCAGTCAATGTTCTAGTGCCCTCTGGTGTCCCTGTCACAAATTGCCATTTAATGTAACTACAAACCAAACCCAGACAAGAGGAGTCTTGAATAAACATATGGACTAATTTAATAAAGACTGGAAAAATATGTTTAGATGAAAGTCCTATCCCAAACTATAGCATCTTGAAACAAGTGGCTTCTTCTAAGTGCAGGCTAAGACTGTGGGACAGTCTGGGAAAGAATTTTCACTTGATCTCTCTTGAAATGTGATTTCTTAAAAAGACAAAGAATTAAACTTGAAAATAAATATATTCACAATCTGTAAAGTTACATTTTCCTTACCACCCCCACAGCCTTGGGAGTGCCCAAGAAACTCAATGAGTCTTTAAAATGTCACAATGTGGGACTATTTGCAATGTGAACACAGTATACTCCATTTGACCAAAGTGTCCTCAAATCTCCATGTGGACTTACTTATTCTTCTGGATCATTCTTTTTCATTTTTCTTACCTTAACCTCAAAGTTCTCACTAAGAGGTAATTATATACACATTCCACAAGACAAATCTGTATTATTTGCAAACACTTTGGTTAAAGACACACAAGTGGTAGAAGTAGTGAATATAATTAAAAAGAGTCTACTTGTTCACTTTTGTGGGTACAAATAAGACTGAAGGATATTATTCTGTCCTAATAGTAATGAATCTATAGATTAAAATTCACTGGATTCAAGTAAAAAAGGTCATATTTGTTTTCAGACCTGAATGTATAAAGTACTAAAATGAAGACTCCGTAGCTCCCTAAATGCCAGCTGTAATACTTTCAGGTAGGGTATAAGAGAAGCACTTAAGGCAATCCCATAGCTAAGATATTTCCAATTAAAGCTTTGTCTTTCAGAGCATGCTCAATTTCCTTCTCTTCAATCTTCAAAGACACCTGGAAAGAAGAGAAAAGGATTTTTCATGGTGTAGAACTCACAGAAGCAAAGCTGTCATTACACAAACTTCTACCACATTAAACTTTTCTGTTAAGAGGCAAGCAAGGGAAGTACTACTTCTTTCTTTTGTTTTCCCTTTTTTTTACTTTTGTTTTTTGAGACAGTCTCACTCTGTTGGCCCAAGCTGGAGTGCCATGGCGTAAGCCTAGCTCACAGCAACCTTAGACTTCTGGGTTCAAGTGATTCTCCTGCCTCAGCTGCCTGAATAACTGGGACTACAGGCATATGCCACCATGACGAGATAGTTTTTTCTATTTTCAGTAGAGATGGGGTCTAACTCTTGCTCAGGCTGGTCTTCAACTCCTGAGCTCAAGCCTTGGCCTCCCAGAGTGCTAGGAATACAGGCATGAGCTACAGCAACCAACCCAACACTACTTTTTTCAATAGCCTACAAAAAACATTGTTTAACTCTTTGTGATTATTAAGTCTTTAGCAACGAATAAATTTTCCGAAACAACACAATTAAAAGCCCTATCTGAGGGCGGCGCCTGTGGCTTAGTGGGTTGGGCACTGGCCCCATACACTGAGGACGTTGGGTTTGAACCCAGCCCCCAGACAAACTGCAACAAAAAATAGTTGGGCATTGTGGCGGGTGCCTATAGTCCCAGCTACTCAGGAGACTGAGGTAAGAAAATGGCCTAAGCCCAGGAGTTAGAGGTTGCTGTGAGCTGTGACACCACAGCACTCTACCAAAGGAGATAAAGTGAGATTGTCTCTTAAAAAAAAAAAAGCGCTATCTGGTTGGGAGCAGTGGCTCATGCCTGTAATCCTAGCACTCTGTGAGGCCGAGGCAGGTGGATTGCCTGAGCATAGGAGACCAACCTGAGTCAGAGCAAGACCTTGTTTATAAAAAAAAAAAAAAAAAATTACTCGATGTGGTGGTGGTGGGCCTGTAGTCCCAGTTACTTGGGAGGCTGAGGCAAGAGAATTGCTTAAGTCCAAGAGTTGACATTGCTGTGAGCTATGATGCCAGCCAGGGCACTCTACCGAGGGCAACAAAATGAGACTGTCTCAAAAAATGAATAAATAAATAAAAGCACTATCATAAAGAAGCAGTTAGTCTTACCTTTGTTAAGCCAGTTTCTTTGTTTTTCTTTAATCCTAAAATGCCCCTGGCCTCCAAGAGCCCTGAAAGTGACAAACACTCTGACTGGTCCACAGCTGCCACCTGCTGTTTGCGACAGACTTTACTATAGGCGTCATATAACTGGGAAAAAACAAAGAACAAATGTGGCTTAAATGTCTTAACTCTTGTAACCTTATAATCTTAAAAAAAAATTGAATCTGGGTTTGCAAAAAAGTTATCTGAATATTCTATTTCTTCTTCTTTTCAATAAAATCCTTGAACAGGCAGTCTGTAGATTATTCCCCCAAACCTAAATCTGTAATATAGGAAAGGGGCTTTATATATTTCATAGGGAGATGCAGAAATGAAGGGGGAAGATGAGGAAATGATTAATGGTAAACTCTCAACCATAACCCAAGGGAAATAAAATCAGCTGCCTATAGTATCAGTATTTATTCTTAGTGTTAAAAATCCATGTTTAATTCATTTCAGTTGGAGCACAAGAGGCCTTTTGGACAGTATCCGCTCTGCAAAGCAAATTCTCATCTTTACCTCAGTTCCATCTGCTGTGATTCCCAACTTACCTTTGCTAGAGTGACCTCTTTGACTTTCAACTGCCTGGTCAAGAGTAGCAAAGAACAGACCAAGATCTTCTGTTGAAGAGGGAAGAAATCTTGCACTCCTTCTTGGCTCAAGGCCATCCTATTACCATCAACTTCTGAGATAACTTGAGATATGTGAATAAGACCAACCCGCTTGGGAATCAGAGATTCAGGTGATTTACCTATAAAGTAAAGAAGCCAAACCTAATTAATATTTTATTTTTATCTTATGATTATTACTATTTTGAGACAGAGTTTTACTTTGTCACCCTTGGTATAGAGTGCCATGGCATCATAGTTTACAGTAACGTCAAACTCTTGGGCTCAAGTAATCCTCTTGCCTCAGCCTCTCGAGTAACTGAGATTAGAGGTGCCTGCCATAACACCCAGCTAGTTTTAGAGACAGGGTCTCTCGCTCTTGCTCAGGCTGGTTTTGACCTCCTGAGCTCAAGCAATCCACCCACCTCAGCTTCCCAGAGTGCTAGGACTACAGGCATGAGCCACCATACTTGGCCTCTAATTAGAAGTTTAAAATATTGGGCCGGGTGTAGCTGCTCACACTTGTAATTCTAGCACTTGGGAGGTGGAGGTGGGAGGACTGCCGGAGCTCATGGGTTCAAGGCCAGCCTAAACTAGAGAGAGACCTTGTCTCCAAAAATTAGCCAGGTATTCTGGCAGGCGCCTGTTCTAGCTACTCAGGAGGCTGAGGCAAGATAATTGCTTGAGCCCGGGAGTTTGAGGTTGCCATGAACTATGATGCCGCGGCACTCTACCAATGGTGACAAAGTGAGACTGTTTCCAAAAAAACGTAAATATTGTGTGTATGTGTGTGACAGATGATAACTAAGTTTTAGTAAAAGGAAATTCTAGTGTAGGCTCAGCACCTGTGGCTCAAGTGACTAAGGCACCAGCCACAAACACCTGAACTGGGGGGTTTGAATCCAGCCTGGGGCTGCCAAACAATAATGACTGGCTGCAACCAAAAAATAGCCGGGCGTTGTGGCGGGTGCCTGTAGTCCCAACTACTTGGGAGGCGGAGGCAGGAGAATAGCTTGAGCCCAGGAGTTGGGGGTTGCTGTGAGCTGTGATGTCACCACACTCTACCCAGGGGGACAGCTTGAGGCTCTGTTTAAAAAAACCCACAAAAACAAAACAGAAATTCTAGTGTAGTCACATGGTGGCAAAACAGAGATTCCAATTCTCTAACTAGAAGCCAAGGAATGAAAGAAAATGCTATCCTTAGAAAGGTGCCTAAAAAATGTGAGATGACTTAGAAAGTAGGGCTATCCTTTCCAGGGGCAGAATAATGAGCTATTTCATCTTGTGGAATGTAATTTAATGTCAGAGAGACAAAATCCACCTCATGAAAGTTCCTACTATTTTAGAGATAAAGAAAAACAGAAACCTGAAGCAAAGATGATGACTATACCTGGTAATTAAGGGGAAAACAAGTTGGAAAAACTACCCAATATTTGATTCAAATGAGTGGCTAAAGTCAATCCCACATCAGTCCTCCAGATGGCCTCCCCAAATGACCTTTGAGGTTTGGTTCACTTGTCCAAGCTGATCTGCAGTAGACTAACACTTCAGGAAAAAGTCACTGGATATCCTAGCAGATAACAGCCATCTCAAAAGCCGGAGGTTGGGAAACTGCCAACAAGCTGCACAAGACTATGGCCTCATTGTTTGGAGATGCATGAATTGCAAGACAGAGAAGAGATTTGCTGTTACAACCTTTGCCTGAAGTTACTTCCTGAGACCACTTGCAATTGTCCCACTACAATTTGCTTCTCTTTCATTACCACAAAGGGATGCTGCAGAGGGCTAATGGAGAAACCAGAGCTCATAGACCAAGTAAGAGAATCTTAAAGTTGAAAGGAATTTAGAGGTCTATTCTTATGTCCTACCCAGTGGCTCAGTGGCTGAGTCCCCTCTAAAACAGTCCCAACATGTGGTCATCTATCCAGCTTTTGTCTGAATATCTCCAATATTGGGGAACTTACCATGTTTCAAGGAAGCCCAGTTTGTTTGTTTTTTTCCCAGAGTTTCATTCTGTCACCCTGGGTACAGTGCTGTGGCATCATAGCTCACAGGAACCTTAAACTCTTGGCCTTGAGCAATCCTCTTGCCTCAATCTTCCACGTAGCTAGAACTACCGGTGCCAGCCACAATGCCTGGCTAGTTTTTTTTTTTCTTCCCCTTTTGAGACAGAGCCTCCAGCTGTCACCCTGGGTAGAGTGCTGCAGTATCATAGCTCACAGCAACCTCCAACTCCTAGGCTTAAGCAAGATTCTCTTACCTCCACCTCCCAAGTAGCTGGGACTACAGGCACCCACCACAATGCCCAGCTATTTTTTTTTTTTGGTTGCTGTTGTCATTGTTGTTTGGCAGGCCCGGGCTGGATTCAAACCCGCCAGCTCTAGCGTATGTGGCTGGCACCTTAACCACTTGAGCTATATATAGGCGCTGAGCCTAGTTTTTCTATTTTTAGTAGAGATGTGGTCTCAAATTCATGAGCTCAGGCAATCGACCCCCCTCAGCCTCCCAGAGTGCTAGAAGTATAGGCAGGAGCCACTGCACCCAGCCTTAAGAAAGCCCTGTTCTATTATTAGAAAGTTTCTCTTTGGGTGGCACCTGTGGCTCAAGGAGTAGAGTGCTGGTCCCATATACCACAGGTGGTGGGTTCAAACCCAGCCCTGGCAAAAAAAAAAAAAAGTTTCTCCTTATGTTTAGTTGAAGTCAGTTCCCCAATAGCTTTCTGGACCCATTCAAAGTCAATCCTAGGCCAGGCGAATGGTTCATATCTGTAATCCCAGCAGTTGGGAGGCCGAGGCAGGTGGATTGCCTGAGCTCACAGAGTTGAGACCAGCCTGAGCAAGTGTGAGACCTTGTCTCTAAATAATAGCCAGACGTTGTGGCAGGCGCCTGTAGTCCCAGCTACTTGGGAAGCTGAGGCAAGAGAACTGCTTAAACCCAAGAATTTGAGGTTTTTGTGGAGCTGTGATGCCACAACACTCTACCAAAGGCTGAACAAAGTGAGACTTTGTCTCACAAAAAAAAAAAAAAAAAGTCAATCCTACGTGTATCAGAAGTCAAAAGATAGGAATTAGATTAGTCCAACTTAACAGTGGTTCTCAACCTGTGGGTTGCGACCCCTTTGTAACAATAAAAATACATCTTGCATATCAGACGTTTATATTATGATTTATAACAGTAGCAAAATTACAGTTATGAAGTAGCAATGAAAATAATTTTATGGTTGGGGGTCGTCACAAAATGAGAAATTCTATTAAAGGGTTGTAGCATTAGGAAGGTTGAGAACCACTGGTCTAACAATTTATGCCGGGAATTTACAACCTGTTTTAGCTACGTGTGTGCTAGTCCTCTTAGAGGACACTTACAAGTCTAAATGTTATTGGCAGGGGTTGGGGGGGAAAGGAATAATCTGAAAAATTGAAGAGGAGAAAGACATCAATATGTAGGCTCGGCTCTCATAGCATAGTCCTTACAGCCCCAGCCACCTACACCAAAGTTGGTGGGTTTGAACCCAGGCTGGGCCAGCTAAACAACAATGACAACTGCAACAAAAAATAGCCTGGCACTGTGGTAGGTGCCTGTAGTCCCAGCTACTTGGAAGGCTGAGGCAAGAGAATCGCTTAAGCCCAAGAGTTTGAAGTTGCTGTGAGTTGTGACACCATAGCACTTTACACCTAGGGTGACATAGTGAGACTGTCTCCAAAGGAAAAAAAACAATATTTAAGTCTGTGCCTTGGTATATATTGCCTACCATAAACCTAAGCACTAATATTGGCTACTTCTGAAATACTGAGTTTCTTTTAACAAGCTGATGAAAAATGAAAGCATTTCATGCACAATAATAGCACTAGAAATAATATATATATATATATATTTTTTTTTGACAAAGTCTCACTTTGTCCCCCTTGGTAGAGTGCCCTGGTGTCATAGCTCATAGCAACCTCAAACTCTTGGGCTCAAGTGATTCTCTTGCCTCAGCCTTCTGTGTAGCTGGGACTATAGGCACCTGCCACAACACCCGGCTGTTTTTAGAGACAGGGTCTCGCTCTTGCTCAGGCTGGTCTCAAACCTGTGAGCTCAAGCAATCCACCCGCCTCGGCCTCCCAGAGTGCTGGGATTACAGGCGTGAGCCACCTCACCCAGCCTTAGAAACAATTTTAATAACTCCCAGCCAGCACAGGAGTAAAGGAAGAAACAATCAAATCAGACTGTCCCATTTGCAAAGATTAACACTGCCTATTAAACCCTAGCAGGATATCTACTCCTACCGCCACTTTACATCTGCCACAGCTAAAAGAACAAGGCTGAGGGAAAGGAAAATTAATTTTTGTCATTTATGACAGTCTACAGTTTATGGTACGATGTGCATTTTGTACCTCTACCTTCACAGACTTGTTTAAAAGCTTTGATATCCCAAATTGAACTCACAGTTTTTTCACCTGATTCTCCCTTATTTATCAGGCTTTGCTTTCACCTGTATCAAGAACTAAAGTACACTGAACATAAGCACCCAGACAGAAGCTGATCTAACTTCATTGTCTACAGTTTTCATTTCTAGAGCTTGGAAAGAAAACTTAACTCTATTTCAGTCACTTATGTAATACCCTGGGAACTCATTTCCAGTAATGCATAGACTTTGGTACTGGTAGGCAAGATCAAAATAAAGTAGATGAAATTATCTAAAAACACAGACAAACATAAAAAAAAATCAGTTGAGCATTGATTTAACTATATTCATCTTTCTACCTTTATCCTCAGAAAAGTTAAGCTTCCAATTAAAAGAGAAGGTGATAAACTACTTACATTCAGACAGTGGTTTGAGGATGGTCTGGCTTTTGACATCTGACTCTACAATTTCAATAGCTCTCCTATAAAAAAAAAAAATTCTAAAATTAATTTATTTGGAGCCAAACCAAACACCACACCAAGCCACCAAGCTCAAAAGCAGGCACATTCATGAAAAACATGAATTGTAATTTTAAAGCCCCAAACAAAATTGAGCTACGTCTCAACTAACCCGGACTTAATTGCCTTGAAATAATTCATGGACCAGGGATCTGAGAAACTTTAACACTAAATGGTTTCCTCTTATAGATGCCAAGTAGGCTGTCATATATGGAGCCAATGATAACATTTGAGATGAAGAGAAAATGTCATGGGTAGGAGAGAGGATATGTAGTGTGGGTGACTGACTAAAGAGAGCCAGCACCACCCATACACGCCAAACCTAAAAGGGGTATCCTTAGTTATATATACAGAGGATATGTGTAGGCTAAACCATGCCGGCCTACATAACTATTGCTCATAACTGCAGTCTTTATCCAAGTAGTTTGCTGACTAGGGCAAACTTTCAAATTCAGGATCATGCAATCTAGCAATAGGAAGAGCTTACTCTCCCACTGCTCTCTCCAAAGTACTTTGCCCACAGGAAGCCATAAGCCAGACCTGGATCTTCTGCATGGCAGTAGGGGGAGGTTGGACCAGCAGGCCAGCACAGCAAGTATCATTTTAATGGACCCAGTGTCCCTACTGGGAAGGAAGAAATTTCATCAGTCAGCACAGAGGCTTTCCTCAGCAGGAGGGGGAGGGAGATGGGAAGGAAGAAAGAGGTCCAGAGTACAACTGTGGGGGATCACCAACTAGAGGGCAGGGGTGCTCACAAAAGGAAGAGAAAAAAAGTCTACAGGTAAAGATGGTTCAGGTTCATAAATCAACCTGCTTGAGACTAGCTAATGGAAAAGTAAACTGGAGTCTTTTTTTAATACAAATGTAATTAACCAATCTATAATCACCACAGGGAGTACCAGCAACATCTCATTTGTTTCTCCCTCTGTAGGTAATGGACTGATAATGTTTCAGACATTAACACGGCAGAAATCCACAGTTCCCCACTGAGAAACAAGTCCTCCTTTCTGGGCATAAAAAAGTAGCAGAACAGAGCCTCTTAAGCCACGTTCACTTCAGTTCCATGGAACAATTAACACCACTTCTTTTTTAAATAAAAACAGCCTACAGTGCCATAACTCACCTGCAAACATCTAGTGCCTTGCGAACATCTCCTGAAACAGCAGAGACTTTGCGGGCACAGAACTGAATTGCAGCATTGTCCAGAACCTGATCGCTAGACACCTTTGGACAAGACATAGAAGATAAGTTTGAATTAGAAGATTTTCCCTCTGTAATTAAGGTTCTAGGGATATTTTCACATTTAAGTCTAAACATGATTGGCAACCCTTTAGAGTCTAAAAGATACTTTTCTGCTCATAAATAAATGGAGATGTTTGAGAGTTTTCACACATTTAAGCATTTTGTAGAAAATGAGGTTGAGGTTAATAAACGGAAAATAACAATGGAATTAAAAAAAAATCTATGTAGTCACTTTCTTTTTTTTTTTTTTTTTGAGGCAGAGCCTCAAGCTGTCCCCCTGGGTAGAGTGCCGTGGCATTACAACTCACAGCAACCTCCAACTCCTGGGCTCAAGCGAGTCTCCTGCCTCAGCCTCCCAAGTAGCTGG